ATTGCTGAAATCGGTTGACACGGTGGTGGCGCAGCGCAAGGGACTGGCCGAGGCTGCTGGTGACTTTTCGGCATCCCTCCATGCGTTGGCAGCTGTCGAGCTGTCTCCTACACTTTCTACCCCTCTGGACGGCCTTTCCGACCTTCAGCTACGCATAAAAGAGCTGTACGAACGCCAGGCTCAGCAGGATGTTCTCACTCTGGGAATCACGATCGACGAGTACCTTCGCTTGATTGGCAGTGTCAAGACTGCTTTCACTCAGCGCCAGAAGGCCTTCCATAGCTGGCACGCGGCGGAGGCGGAAATGCAGAAGCGCAAACATACCCAGGAGAAGCTTCTCAGGCAGGGCAAGACGCAGCAGGATCGTCTGACTCAGGTCAATGCCGACGTGGCCGATGCCGAACGAAAGGTCCACCAGGCGCGGCTGTTGTTCGAGGATATGGGTCGCCTGATGCGCAATGAGCTACAGCGATTCGAGAAGGAGAAGGTTGAGGATTTCAAGTCTGGCGTTGAGACCTTCTTGGAGAGTGCGGTTGAAGCCCAGAAGGAGGTAAACAGCTACATGCCCCGTACACCAGTTGTCATGGTCGTTGCTAACGTAGGTCTCACAGTTGATCGAGCTCTGGGAAACGTTCCTCTTGCAACTCGATGCGGGCGAAGAAGGCAATCTCCTCTACGGCAACGTAGGGGCGAGCGAAGCTGCTGCGCCTGCGGTCGAGGGGGCTGCCGAAGCTACACCAACAGAAGAAGCATAGGCATCTGTACAAAAGAAAGCAACGACTCGTTGATGTCCCATCCACTCTCCCCTTGCGTGTCTCCTCTGCCGTTAATTGTCACTCCGTCTACTTACTGTGAGGTGCGGCGCACACTTGTTTTCTCTTCTGGCGAGTCTTTCACGTATGCAATCGGAACTCTATCTAGCAGCGTCCTGATATCAATGGTCCCCAATGTAGCATTAATTGTACCACCTCGTTTGTTCGCTTCAATTCAACGCATCTATTAAGGGCCATATACCCTGAAGCTGGAACCACCGATGCTGAAACTCCATTTGAATGGTATGGTGTACTGTACATAAAGCCGAACAAGATCTGTATCGTATAACAACAACATCGAACGAAAATCCATGAAACCCCCTAGCTCCCGTCCCCATCCTAGCGCAATCCGGTTAGTTCTTCTTCTTTCCCGGCTGCTGCTCCTTCTGCCCAAACGAACTGATCAGATCCAGCAGGTTGTCGTCCTCTTCTTCAGCGGCAGCGGCCTCCGCAGCAGCAGCCTCTTTGCTTTTTGCCGGTTGATCCTTCTTCGCGGCCTCTCCCTCAATGGGCGTGTTCACATCCCAGCTGCGACCAAACTTGGCTCGGAAGGCCGCCAGTCGACCGGCCTCATCATCCTCGACGCTCTTCAGCTTGCTTGAAGTCGGGTTCCAGAGCAGAGTGTTGCGCGTGTCACGGGTCGAGCGGTAGACAGGGACAGGGGAGGAGGTGCGATGAGTGAAGGTGCTACCATCGGTCATGGTGATCAGCTGGGTGAACTGGTAAGGGCGCTTGGGACGGCGGAGGAGAGTAGCATGTCGGCATTGCGAACAGATGAAGGTGGTGGAGGTCTGAACGCGGGAGGTGGTGGCCGCGCTGCGGCGGAGAGGGGCGCTGAGGGACATGTTTTGCAGCCCGCGAGGAATTGGAAGGACGCCGGAGGGAGGTATGGATTGGCCTTGGAGGTGGAATTGGCTGGCTCGAGACCGGAGATGCGATGCTGTGGTTCTCTCCCTCTGTCTTTGGCCGACAAATTTGGGCGGACCCCCGGGATTATGTCAGCATCCCGTGTGCTGCTTTTTCTCGTCGACGGACTTTCAATCGGCTTGCATTGAACCCACGTCTCTCGTTCTCCGGTCTGTGGCTAGCATTATTGCCCATTGAACCGCTACTGGTCTCCCGTCTGGGTCTTCATGATGACTTTGGAGGGCTCCAAGGGTCTTGTCTCTGCTTTCCTTCCTGTTCTCTTGCCCCTCTCTCCGTGAGCTTCGAGCTCCGTCCGCGGCGGGATAATGCTTCCATACTCTCGAGCTATGCTTGCGGCCAGTCGGACGAGCCATTGCATAGGTTAGTTGGGTCATAAAACTCATATCTGTACTTTCCAATCTAATTATCCCCCTCTAAAGGACAAAGTGCACCTGTCATCCGAACGGCTCTCCGATCCGGACTACTGCAATCCCGCAGAACGGTCGCCAACGTCTCCCCGAATGCTAAGGCCCCCTCTCAATCCGATTCAGCAGAGGCTCGGTATACAAAGAACGATGCCTCCTCCATATCCGACCAAGTCCGTCTCTTGATGAGACGAGTGCCCTACCCCGTTGCCATCATTACGGCCACGGACCCCCACGGCCCGGCAGATAAGGCCTTCCGCGGAATGACCGTCTCCTCCTTCAACACCGTCACCCTCAGTCCGGAACCCGTCATCTCATTCAATGTGCGCCGGCCCTCCGAGACACTCAGCGCCCTCCAATCGTCAAAGCGCTTCCTCGTCCACCTCCTAGCCCCCAGACAAAGAACAGCTACTCTCGCTCGGGACTTTTCCAAGGGCAATCATAACCTGTCTCTCTTTGCCGGTAAGAGCGACTATGAGTTTGTTTCGCATGAGCATTCCCTCCGCGGCGATGAAACTCCCACCAGACCACTTCCACTGTTGCGGAGAAAGCAGGATACTGGATCTATGGACTCGGAGGACTTTCCATTCGTGTTGGAGTGTCAGCTCCACCCACATGGGATCCAGGTCCATGACCATACTATCGTCGTGGGGACCGTCGTTCGGGCGCTGTCAGGACAGCTGCCTAGTCTTGATTCGGAAACCAAGGCCGCAGACCTTTGTCTGACATATGCCAATACTCATTTTTGGGAAATGGGCCATGAAATATAGACGTCAACTGGATGACATACGAGCTCTGACATGGGCCACGTCCCAGCTAATCTCTAGAATATCGGTATTTGACACAGGTCAATTGCCGTGTATAATACACACTACACGTTATGCATCCTCCAGGGATCTCAATGGCAGCGTTTTCATCACATGTACATAGAATTTTAGATAGAATATCCACTCGCAATTCGGCCTTCTCGCTCGTTATAGAGTTAACTGCAACAGCTATGATGAAATGACTGGGTACACCACTCAACAGCCCTATGCCTCAGTACATGAACGAGCATGATATCAAGAACCTTCCTTCACCTTGACTTCCCTAGCCCAGCTACGTCGGCAAGGGAATACCTCATGACGACATCCTCTAAAACTTACTACCAGCACATCTTCCAATACCGACCCCGTGATCACACCCACCTTATAGAGTATTAGCCCACTCAACAACAACCCAACTACCATCGTATACACCTCCCCTTGTACACCATCATCTAGATATATATCCCCCTCCCCATCTCACTCATAAGTAGATCACCTACTACATCCCCAATTAACCCCCTCACCAGGACTATGGTACTATACCCGATATATCCCTCATAAGAACCAGAATCCACCTCATATTCGGAATCCTCCTCTTTCCCCGAAGCCAGGAAGGAGGAAGGAACCTTCCACACTGAAAATATCAGGTGACCGACTGACTTTAATTCACTCAACGCTCACGCAGCACGGGACTAGTCAGTTAGCCCTAACTTGGTGTCTAGGTGGATTTTAGACTGGTGTTGGGGTCTCTTGGGGATCTGTATTTTAGGCTTTCTTTGGGTTTGGGGGGGGGGGGGTTGTCTTTTGTTTGGTCTTCTTTTAATTGATTGATTAGTTGGGTTGAGGGGGGGGGGGGTTGGTGTGGGCTTGGTATATATATATGCATGAGTGTGTGTATAGTACTTCTATCAAGGATCTAGGACTGGCTGGCTGTCTAAAGGGATGGCAATGATGCTTGGGGATATTGGTGGTCATTTGAGACATGTACTCCGTATGCTATCTTTGCTTCTGACTGATATGTATGTAGTATGTATACGCCCGGTATTATATTATATTATATGTGTCTAAGGATCAACGCATGCCATTGGTCGGATTTCATGGCGGAGCAAGGGCTGAAATATATATGATGGTTTGACTGATACCCGGCTGCAATGTAGATATTTCGGACCCGGAGGAAATTGACTGTTCATTTATATATCCACATCTATCTATATATACATACGAGCTCCTATTATGACGGAATCCATATATTCTAGCTACTTAATCCACACTAGACTTAAAAAAAAACGATATACCTCACAACCGGGTCCAACATTTACCACAATACCAACCCATACCACCCCTGATATACGAGTCTGACCATTGATATAGCACTTCCAGACCAAACCAGCATTCCTGGGCTGCTATTTCAATGGCAAAAAGACAATCTTGCGACACCTCTGGGACTCGAACCCAGGCGGGCGAACCCACAGGCTGATCAGCTAGTACGATGAGGTAGTAGCAGGCCTGCGCCTTAAACCACTCGGCCAAAGTGTCAGGTTGATTGATGGTATAGGGTCCACTAATAGGCTGATAGGTGGAATGGATAGTTAGAGTAGTTAATACACAAAAACACATGGAGCAAAACAGTATGCGACACCTCTGGGACTCGAACCCAGGCGGGCGAACCCACAGGCTAATCAGCTAGTACATAGATAGTAGCAGGCCTGCGCCTTAAACCACTCGGCCAAAGTGTCATTTTGATATTGAGGGTGTCTCTAAAGCTCGGTAGGAGGCAGCGGTAACGTGAGCAGCCTTGCCGAGCGGGTATTCGTCAAAGTCAAAACCAACGCTCCCCACCCCCCTCCGCCACCCATTGAACCAGCAAAACAGGCGAAAAAGATGCTCCAGATGATGAAATAACCCTTCTCGTAGGAAAAATCAGTCATATTTGCCGAAAAATGGGGGTTGCGAATATCCCGAAAACGACACTTTTTTGGACCCTCCGAGAGCTCCGAAACGTCCCAAACTCACTATATAGGCAAATTTTGACCTCCGGATAACATGCAATAGGCACTTTGACCGAGTGGTTAAGGTGCAGGCCTGCTATAGCCGTTTCGGCGAAGTTAGCCTGTGGGTTCGCCCGCGTGGGTTCGAATCCCACAGGTGTCGTGCTATTTTTGCCCCTTGAACGGGCAGTTCTGGGGCCAATTGGCCATCCTGAGTCGAGGCAGGAGGGGCCACAAGCTAGGGACGCTAGGGGCCGCGGTGAGCGGGCACTCCTGGGTTTTTTTTTGGGTGGTGTGTGGCCAATGAAGTTGACTGGGCGTGGGCCAGTCGAATCCATTAGCACCTACCCGGAAGGCGGGACCAAGACGCAAACGGCGGGTAGATAGAGATTAGATAGCAAGAGACTATGCAATAGACAAAGGCTAATGATGCTGGAAAGTCAAGGTCGTAGACCCTAAGTTCATGAGGTGAAGAGTCTATGGTTATCTGTCGACTCCCACTAGAAATGTCCTGTGTTCTTGGCAGGGAGAGATGTCTACCCATTGAGATTGGTGAACGAGGTATTGTAGCACCAGAGGTTTGTACATAGTATGTATATCTGGATAAATTTCACGTTAGCCATCCGTCTGTAAATGGTATGTTGTGGAAAATAGGTCTTTACCGCGAAATACAGAAACAGTATAGGTCAAAGAATTCAACCAGGTTCAATTAACTGAGAAAAGGCCGTAGTTTATCTGTGTAGACACAGGCAGGCGAGATTGTTGAAGAAAAAGCCAGGAAGGGGTAGGTAGGGGGGCCAAAATCCGGAAGGAATTGCCGGCCCTGCCTCTCGTATTGCCCGGTTTCTAGGGGATCTTATATAGATTTCCACAGATGTAAAAGCCATTTTGTATCACGTCTGAAATCACGACTTGCGGTTGTCATTTAGGAGGGCAGGTACCCATTCAGCGGCAGACCGGGTGTCTCTTTCGGGTATGAACACGGATCTCTTCAGCATCTGCCCGCTACCGATAGCATAACGTGGTATAGTAGGCCCGGGATAATCCCAATCCTGATGGTATGGAATGGGATAGGATGGGTGGAAGGGAAGGAACCCTGAGGGAGGGACTGGCGTATGGCCTTGTAAAGCCCTGTGAATGGTGGGTGCCACGGAAACCGCAATGGCAGAAACACTACACTATGAATGGAAAAGTTTTCGGCAAATTATGAATAGGCTCTACATATGACACAAGATTTGTTTGTTCACAGGCGATGGAATACCAGGACGAAGCCGCACGGCTGCGTGGACTCGTCAGGGCTGATCCGTCTCTGGTCCAAAGAACCCGAGGCAGGTAAACCACCATACAACCTTGAGCATCACGTCTGAAGATGAACACTACCTAGCAGTAACCGGAACCACACGCACCAGGAACACGCCCGCTAGATCCCCGAAAGATCCACCAAGACTTGCCCCTCTACCTAGCCTAGTTGCCCTTACCACCTGCCGAGCTGGGACTGCCACTTCCACTTCTACTCGCACCGCTACTTCCACTGCCACTGCCACTGCCACGGCTGTCTGCCCGCTGAAACGGGGTGGAGATGGGTCTCATGATTGGGTTCGGAGTCACCCCCTCAGAGCCCGAATCCATCCGCTTCTCGGCGACGGTATCGGACAGATCAAGCTGGAAGGGACCCCGACGGTTGGAGTCCAAGAAGTCAGCACCGTAGAGACTGCTCCGCGCGGATCGATTGGAGAAAGACCGGTCACGGTAGGTAAAGTCCGTGTCGAAGTAAGTGCCGGTGTTGCCGAGGGGAGACGTCGGGAAGTGTTGCAGGTACGAAGGCGGCTGGATCGGGCTGGTCGGGCGAGACGAGGTGGCACCAACGGGGGACGACGCGTGCTGCAGCGGACTGGATTTCAGTGCCGGGAAGCCGAGTCCCAGAAGAGATCGGGTGCTAGGCGCAGTCGTCGTCAAGGACCCCAAAGACATGCCGGACGCCTCAGTCAGAGGGTTCGTACCCGGTAGGTTCCCTTCAGGCGTAAGCGGGGCAGAATCCAAGAGTATCTGCTGCTGCTGTTGAATGGCTTGCTCAATAGCGGCAGCTTGCTGCCACAATTGATTGGTCCGCAGTTGGTACTCCTGCACAGATTGACTGATGCTCGCAAATTGCTCGTTGAAGTTGGCCTCCAACTTGGCCTGATCCTGTTCCCTAGCAAACTGCTCTGCAGCACGACGTTCCCTCTCGTTGAGACCTTGCGCGTTGGCAGAGACGATCCGCTCGTATTGCTCATTGACCCTTGTACGGCGGCCCTGGAGACGTTCCTTTCTCTGAATGGCAGAGTTCAACTCCGACTCCAACGACGACACCTCGCGAGCAACAGCGGACCGCGCAGCAACGAGCTCTTCCTTGGCCAGGTTCAGCTGTTCCAACTCTTGATCGAACTTGGCCTTCTGGCTGGTCCATTCCTCGAGTTCCTCTTCGGGGATATTCTCCAGATTGTCGAGTTGGCTTTCAAGAGCGGCCGTGGCTTCTTCGGTTTGCTTAATGTTTCTCTCAAGTTGCAACGAGCGCTGTTTCTGTCGGTTCTCATCGGTACCACTCTGCAGACGATGGTTGTAGTTGTCCAGCTCTTTCTTGATCTTGGATATGACGAGTTTGTGGTCGTTTTTAGCCTTCCTTAACCTAGCACGTTTCTCATTCAGCTTGACTTCGGCGTTGACGATCGAGTTCTTGAGTGTGGTGGTCGGCGACGACGGGCGATAAGACGGTTGCGGCGGAGTGGGGATTGAAGAGACTGTGGGTGGCCAAAATGAGACAACTGTTTTAGACAAACTGAAGGCTAAACGAGGTATTCCCTTACCTTGTTCCGCGTCAGTTGCAGCAGGAGTCTTGACGCTCATGACACAGATCTCTTCATCGGTATCGCTCCGCATGAAGGAGCAAGTGTAGGCACAGTTAGGGGCGAGTCCTGAGACCTCACCCCGCCAATGCACCGTGTTCGATCCTTTGGGAGCATCCTGTACTTTGGTGATGGCTGCGGTTGCCCACAATGCGCCGTTGACACAGACGTAGAAAGGTTCCGTTTCTTCATTTCCCAGACGGCCAGATTCACAGACCCCAGAGACCGCGGGATCGTCCAGTGAGGCGAAATCCCCCGCGGCAAACTTGATAGTAGAGCTATCAACTTCGGTTATCCAAACAAGTCCATCGTCCAACGAAATGCCCTGAAGATCTTCTTCTGTCATCGTAAGCCCCCTACCAGTTTTGTTGAGAGCCCTTGAATGCTCATATTCCCTCATCACCGTCACCTTCGTGCTCGCGAGTGCAGCCCAAAAGGGTTGACGGCTCCGGACCTGGTTGGCTTGTCTTCTGCGTTTCTTTGCCGAAATTAGTCTATCTCTGCCGTCCTTATGAGTTGCTGGCGTAACAATTTGACCATCGGCGCCGATATAAGAGGAGACGCTAGCCCCGGACTCAAACGCGGAATCGATTTGTGTCTGCGACCCGGCAGACGCTTCGGTATCAACGCGCTTGCCATTCCGAGGTGGAGCCGGCGACCGGTTCTTGGCCATCGATCTTCTCGCCATGGCGGTGCCTGCCTGAGCCAGGATATGAACAGCAAGGAGGCTGCGCATCCAGCTTGGAGAGCTTTGCGGTTCCGTGCGCCGAAACTCGGGCGGCATGAGATGTGAATATTGCGATAAGAGATCGGGCGAGACGATTTTTGCGGAGAGCAGGTGACCTATAACAAAATCCTGTATACCTTTACTGCGGATAAGATGTAATACGAGAACAATGCCAACGCAAAGGGCATTGACCCCTCCATTCTTTCCCGACCCTCCTCCACCTAGCGTGATGGCGACTTGCACGTGAGCGAGATCGAGCGCAAAGTTCTGCGCCCAAGTCCACATGAAAAGACCCCAGAAAAGCAAGCAGAACCCATCCATGGCGATCATTGTACCGAGAGACGGCGTTCCGGCAGGACCCTGGAAGATGTCGAAGTTGGATGTCAAAGAGCCAGACGATGCACCACTGGGAGGCATGAAGGTGAGGGAGGCGAACAGGAACTGAACCAAAGTGAGAACCATAGGTGGAAGTTGCAGAAGAAATATCAGGATGGCGATGGTGTCGTACATCGGGCAAGACTTGAGGATGGTCGACGCTAGCTGGAGTGGATTGATAGAGCCCGACCTCTTCGAACCGGTCGCCGGCTTCTCCGTCCGACGCGACGCCTGGCCGGCAAGTCCGCCATTCTGGGCCACGGCGCCATTCGTCTGCCCATAAGACATGTCCGCGTTACCCTTAGCATAACCGTTTAGCAAGCCACGCCCGTTGCCATCCGCCTTCGAGGTTTCCGCCGTGCCGTTGACCTTGTTTGCCGTCGTTGTCGATGAAGTTAAAGCCGAGTCGCTGGAAGAGCGAGATGCGGGCCAGTCGACTTGAGTGGAGGGACCAGTGTTCGGGGCAGAGGCGCCGTTCGAGTTCCCATTCAAATTTCCATTGGACTTTTGCTTGTTCACTTTCTTTCCGGGACCGACGAGACCATTCTCATGCCGATTGCTATGACTCTTCCTAGCCGTGGCCGATGAACGTGGCATGGACGAGGGAGCCTTACACCCAGGTCCGAGTCAGCTTGGCAGGGAGGAGCCAAGGACTTGGACCAGGCGAGAATTGAGGACGAAGACAGCGTCGAAAAGCAAGAGATTGGGGAGAAGAAGGGGGTGGGTGAGAGTGGAAAGGGAAGGGAGGGGAGGTAGCACCCAGGGAAGCGTGCGGGAAAAGGAATGACAAGAGGGGATCAAAAGTCGGTAGGGTAAGGACTAGGATGAGAAAAGGAAAGTCAGAATGATTCGGATTGGATATGGGGGAGGGTGAGTAAGAGAGGGTGGCGGGGGAGGAAAGAGAAGGGAAAAATGAATGAGGTTTGGTAGACTTTTGGGTCTGGATAGACGAGGCGGGAAAAAGACGAAACGAAAGGTTGGAAACGGATCGTCAGAGGGAAACGCTAAGGCAGCAAGGCGGCGACCGCCGGCCAATACTGCGCACTGTACCTGCCTCAGGCATCAAGACTTCCCGTCACGTATGGAATGTCTGGTTACTTTCCTCGTACGGTACATGACGTACCTCTCACAGCGCCGCCTTCCGGTTGGCTGGTGGCTCTCCAAACCCATTCCTCGACC